TTTTAACAGGCGTTCCCTCTCGGGAGCAGGTACAGGGTTGTTACGGCTGCAGTGGGTTTCTGCACTTTTCCTTGCAGGGTTCTGGATGCAGGCCTCGTCTGGTGCTCGTCTGCTTTAAAAGCTCCTCCTCAGACCCCCGTTTGGTTTGTATCCTATGGTTGGGTTTTGTTAGGTTTGTTTGCATTTGCTTATTTCTGTTGAGTTATTGGTTTTGCAGTAAGCCATTTTCTATTCCCCATTTTATTTATCCGTTTTTCGGGTTTTGTTTCTTTAGTATAATTTAATAAATTCAATTTTCCCCACCCAACAAGCCTGGTGGACGTAACAGGGTGCTCCCGAGAGTGCATGTGCACTTTTTTTTATAAAAGTGAAGAGGGCGGGTCTTTCAAAAATTTGTAAAATATCCTCCACTATACATCTAAAACGGAACGGCAACAATTTGTCCAGCTGCTACTAAACAAACATTCAACATGAGAATAAAATTACATTTTGAAACAACACTGGAAAAAATAAAAATCTAGATAAGTCATTCTTTCTTAAAATAAGTGCATTTGTTCTTGAATTGAGGAGGTAATACAGACATTTAGCCAATGGAACAAGACAATTTACATTTAAAATAATAAAACACAATTGCATTGTCTTATTTCAAGTGCATTTTATATAAATATCTTATTTTAAGAGTAAAAATACTCATTCCACTGGCAAACTATCTCATTCACCTACTAAAAGTAAGGGTAAAAACACTTAATTTAAGATGTTTTTTTAGTGAAAAAACACATTCCTAATCTCCAAAAATATTTAACATTTTTCCTGTTCAGATCTTTGTAGAGATAAACAGGAACACCATGCTAATATGCGTTTGCTAATTACTCAGGCTATCTAGTAACTAAGCAGAGTGGCTTCAAAATAATTTGCAGTTGCAGTACCATGCTTTAATAAAAGGAACGTCACTCTCTTTAGGTTCAACAACATGGTCACCCAGAGTTTTTTTCCTCCATAAATATTTCCAATGAACACAGAAAGCATTCTGACGTCATGATAAACGTTTACCTTCAATCAACTCAAAGACACCAGCTGGTGACACTAGCTAAATATTGTGTAGGTCGGATACAAAAGAGTAGATTTATTCAACCAGTGTCAGAAGTAATAGCAGTTAAGAAGCGATCTGTCTTGACCAATAAGTGCTTCCCTTTGTTTAAGTCGTCTTACTAAACGAACAGATGGTCGTGTTCGTACTTGTTTGCCTTTTCAGACTCGGGACATAAACGTCCCCTGTGTGCTAAAAGGATACGCAGCCTGTAGTGCATTTCATACATATGATGCATGAAAAGTATACAACCCCGCTGAATTGCTTTGTTAGCTGTTTGCTTCATCTCTTGGTTACAAATTACCCCATCATGGCCTACTTTCAGCATACTGGCTGATCATGTGAGTGCATGTTAGTTTGAATGTTTAGACTTCATGTTGGCACATTTAATACCACTTCAATATGGTTTTAGATTTTAGTATTAATGAAAGACTAGAAAAAGACAATAAATAATACCTTGCTTTGCTAAGCGCTGAATTAATATCTAAGGAAACAACTTTAAAATTGAGGTATTACACAACTTAAGCAAACTTTCTCTCCACAGTCCTTGAACTTATGAGCCAGTTTCAATGTGTTTAAGCTTTTAGGTCACCACTGACAACATGACCTGTTATTTTATTTGTTTTTTTCCCGGTCAAAACCTAAAGGAATTAATATGGAATGCCTTTTTTTTTATGCTGATGACGATCTACTTTCCTTAATCTTGACATCCAAACTGTTAGACATGAAATCATTGTTTGAAGAAGTTTTTCTTAACATGCATGACGGTTTTGCTGCAGATTTGTTTGTTGCATGTCTGTAATGCAAATTCCACATTCCCAGGGTGTGCTTTTAGATTGAGTTGTTGTAAGTTTTTGGAGTATGATGAACTCAGCTTTATGTTCGATAGAAAAGCTGGGGATGATCTGAAATTTTGTTAGGAAGGTACCTTCCCTTTGATCTTGAAGGTGACAATAGGACAACTACTCAACATAGTGCCACAACGCAAAAAATCAAAATCAAAGTACCGTAAGTCAATTTTACTGGAATTGAGCAGATAAGTGAGACATTTTGCTAACAGAATAAGAAAACTTAGATTTAAAATAGGATAATAAGGACTGCAGTCTCTTATAATAAGTGCATAATATCTAATTATCTTATTTTAAGGGTAAAAATGCTCATTCCATTGGGAGAACATTTTATTTACCTACTCAAATTTAAGGTAAATGCTCTTATTTTCAGAAATTAATACTCATTTTTCTATCATTTTTGCAGGGCATTGCATCAAAGCAGTGCTTCGTTAATACTAAATCATCCCCAGAAATCCAAAAAATCTTAAACAATGAGAGTTAGTTTATATCTCAATGAAAAGTTTAAGTATCTGTCAATCTTTTTCAATTATGCTAAAAAAGGTGGAGCATTAGAACAACTGATGCATCTCCAGCAATATGGATGCTGCTCTGTTCTGCCGTGTTTTAGGAGACAATAACCCTAAAAATAAATCTGTTGATTTGATTCCTTCCTAAGTGATAAGAGCAACCAAAGGAGTTTAGATTAAAGCGGACGCTCTTATATTTCATGCGGAAATAACCGACAGTTATGGGATCTGATCAGAATCCTCCTGAGCTTTTCGCTTTGGAGCTTTTCTAGGTTTATCTCAGCCCCACAGGCCAAATAGGATCCATACAACTATACAGCTTTCCCCTATTGGCTTGGGAATGTACATGTTCATATTGACAAGGATCCAAAGACTTTGGATTGATAGGTAGAACGACAGATGTATGGGCTTTGAAAAAGAAAAACAAAGCAGAACCGTCTAAATGTTTGCATTTTCTAAGTAGTCTGAGATCAGATGGGTTTAAGTGGA